ACTAATGTTTATGTGTTTAACTAACTGTCAGTTTATTCCGGTAATTTGTTTACTCTGAAGAAGTGGCTTTCACTAGATTATGTAAGGTCAGATAATCTAATTTCTACTCATTAGGATATTACAGATGTATCATTATTATTTTATGATTAAAAGTTCTACCCAATACTTAATTAATTTGAAGTTACCAAGTCTAACCTTAATAATAAAACTTTCATTGAATACTTATTCTGAGTAGCAATCGAAATTAGCTTAAATCTTGAAGGTCAAATACAATGTAAAACCAGGTACACATATGCATCGGTCCAAGTTGTCACATCTCATTAGCACAACAAGATGAACACCGAATATTATAGAAGTAGTTGCCTCAATGATAGGAATATATAAAAGAAAGATTGCCTATAACGAGATATAATACAGGAAGAAAGGATTAGCTGGTAGAGAGGAAGACATAAAGCAATTTTAACCTCGCACTTTAAGGGAAGACAGAGTGTGCAAATGTAGCGAACAAAATACTAATGAGACAAATGAATGTACTTGACACGAAATTACAGAGCATCTCAATGAAATCTGTGAACGCAGGAAAGCATCCAACTGCGTCACAAGACAAGCCCTCACATGTAAATAGTAAATCCTTAATTTACAAAATATCAACCCATCATCTCAAACTTGACTGTTCTGGTTGCAAACATCAATCCATTATCTCAGATTTCATTATTCATGCATTTTCATATCAATTGCATTCCGTTCCGTTCTTTCCTCATCGACCTTCTACTAAAACACATTCTATGCCTGACCACCGTTATATGCTACTTGTGTGAATATAAGTAGCCTACACCACATATACACCTACGCCATTGTGATCGATTCTGAGCCAAATCACCCAGAATCTCCATCCACTGGTTACGATAGTCACGCGGACCCCAAACAAGCAGTCTGCATCTACCAATATGGCCCATACCAGAAGTTAGTGACTTCAAGCACTGATGCCACGTCTTGGTTTTGCCACTCCTAATTTTCTTCCAACAATCTCCAACACTAGTCAGCACTGTGTGCCATGGTATTCTGTGTTCAGGTATACGTAACACGTGGCCCAATAATCTCCGTCGATGAACATTTACAACTTAATATAGCACCTAAAATCCTAGCCTCAATAATTATCGGACGCCTAACAAAGACTCGTGAACTTCAAACACGAAAAAATCAGGCTGGCATCAGACCTGGTCGTGGCTGCATCGACCACATATTCCTTATTCGTCAGGATTTAGAACACAGGCATGCCTATTAGTGTTCGGCAATGATTGTTTTCTTGACTTAAAAGGACTGAAAACACTAATGAGGCTTTTTATTAGTATTTGGCTAATGACTCATGAATATTGCTGTAATTCCTGGAACTTATTTATTTAAAGGAGTATTCCACTGACTTTTGAATTGTATATATATTACATTCATCATAATTCTTACTGTAAGCTTATGTTCATTGCTTTCATGAAACTGTTCATTCATCTCTGAAGAGATAATTTAATTAAGAGCTGAATTGTAACCCCTTGAAAAAAACATTTATGAAAATTGAATGAAACATATGAAATGAAGTTTATCTAATTGTGTATTTGAGCACACTGATGAGACCAAAAATAAAGCAAAAGGAACTTTAATACAAAAAAGATTCTATCATACACTTTTAAATGGATTACCAAGTAAAACAGCTGACAAAAATACCGTTTTTTCTTTTCTTATTTGTCTTGTGAAGTAATGTTAAATATACTAAAAGTATTCTAGAGGACATGAGTTGATTGAAGATGAACTACTGGACTTGTGTTCAAATTTACAAATAGTACCGGGATATCTAATAGTTTGAGATAGTGGGGATGATTTGTAGCTCAGTTGGATGATTTTGATGAAGTTTTGTTCTCTGAGCTAGATGACTTGATTGTGAAGCTTTCATCGTTCTTTTCAACGATATCATCAACACAAACTTCAGATGGAAGAGAAGTCTGCTTTGTGTATTTTCAGCCTACTATAGAGGACAGAATTCTATCAAAATATCTAAAAGATTATTTATTTGATTCTATCTAGTATTTAATCTTCTTCAGATGCGTACAATAGGCCTTAATTTTCATATAATTCACCACGAGTAGTTTCACAGTATTCGGGCGCTGAATTAGCTAGTTTAATTAGGATTACTACATACATTTGGCGTTGGTTACGTACGTAAGAATACTATATATAAAGTCATATACCCTAACACTGAGTTCTAGTCTTTTCCATTTAGTATGGACCATACATACTCTTGATAGTTTAAAAAATGTTTTAGGATGACCCAATTATAACAGAAAGTGTTATTCGTCAGTATATTTATACAATTTATTTAGTCACTTGTGTACGGTTATTTATTATGGTTTTTGTTTTGTAACCTACCCATAGACTTTAGTCTCTCTTATAAGCTGACGTTTTGTATGAATGCAAAATTTTCTTTCTAAAGATTGTACATAATGCAAATATCTTACATGTTTCAGTATATCAATCAACTGCAAACATTACCAACGTGATTATATTTGAAATTCTACTACTGTGAATGTAGGAGGTCGTGATTGACAGATAGGGAATAATTCAAGAATGGAAGATCGTTGAACAGGTTAAAATAAAGCTTATGATAAGAGAGACACGAATATGAATAGTTTAGTTAATCAACAATTATACGACAAAAATATACGTACAGTATTGGTCGGTAAATAGATCCCAAAAAATTACCACTTTTTATTCTTATTGAGACACAACAAGGAATGAGTAACAACCAAATTGTATTGTAGTGAATGTGAACACAAGTAAGGACAACCGAATGTGTTTCAGTACAAAATTACAGAATCTCTTAGCAAAATTTGCGAACCATACAGTCAATACTTGATTTGGGAAAAAAATCAGTCAATCGTCCTTTTTCTCCACACTAGTCATTCTTTGTTCTCGTTCTCTTTTCTTCGGTCTACCTAACCTTCTATCTCGAAACATGACACTTTCAATTGATGATCCATACTACTTATATCTACCAACATATGACTAAACATTGCTAGTAAGCTGTTCAGCAAATATATTGTATTTTGTTTCAACTAACTTCATCTGTAAATATGTTAAAGTCTGTACGTTATATGTACTACTGATTGATAGTTGTAATGCTACTCACTGACTTATATCGAAATACAGAATGGAAAGCATAAGATTAATTCAATATATTAGTTCATATTAAAGATCATTTACTCAAGGATGTGTATAGATATATCTATAAGGAACCAGTAATCAAAGGATTTCAGTTACATTGAAGAAATTGTAAATAATTCTACTTCAGCCTTATTTATTTTTCAGTTTTCATAACTTTCAAGTGTTGAAAAGAAATTTCCAGTTAAATATTTGAGAACGAAACGGCCGTCCAGTGCTTCCAGGTTTTCCATGATGGTCTAGTTTCAACTGGCTCATGATCTTAACCATTGAAATTACTACAATCTCCACAAAATCCATCTGATATTTTATTTCTTTTAATATTTCAGATGGCCTTTTGGTCATTTTGGCTGTCAGTCATATGCATTTGCTGGAATGTTTTTTGGAATGACATCAATTTATTTGTCGTGTTTTATCTGTTTCTTCACTATGGTTGAAATATTGAACTTAACCTATAGTAAGTAGACAAAGATTATATTCTGTTATAACTTGTAGCCTGTGTGCCTCGTTAATGTATAACATAATGATACCGTTAATTAGAGAACAGTGAATTATCGACCTGATCAATGACGCATAAAACCCGTATGAGCAGTCTGGAGTACTTATCGGTCCCGCTTACTGCTTAGCCCAGCCAGTTATGTCCAGAACACCAATCTCAGCCTCAGAGATATGAATCATGTATTTCAAACACACTGTGTTTATATACCAACCAAACAGACCACATCGTACCATAACAGGGAAAATAACATTTGTACAAGATTTAGCCAAATGCGTCTATGAATATGGGGGATAGTAATTGATAGACAGGACATAACTCAAGAATAGAATAACTAGTTTCTATCGTAAAATTTCATTCAGACTGAGTTTTCTATTAACCAACAAAATCAATGTTTTTATAGGGTAATTTCACTTATGACTGTTAGCTTATTGTGTTGAAAAAGACGTTCGAAAGGTATTTGTTGTGCTAAAAGGTAAAAGTTGCGTATTTACTCTTATTATTGTAATAACAGGTTATTATTATTATCAGTAATGTTTGAATAGTCTCACTGTTATCATGGAGAACTGAATGCTTATCACTTTGTTAGCATATATGCATCCTTTAAGAATTGCCTCAATATTAGTCATTATGTTACAAGTTATTTTGAATAAATGGATTGTGTCTAACAGTAGAATCGAGGACTAATACCTGATATACTAACGTTTGTTATGCCTTGTGGTGGAGCATAGGCCACCCACTAGGATTTCGCATTAAACTCTGTCTTGAGGACTAGTCTCAAATAAAATGAAATATGTACTCTGGATTCTACTGCTAGACATAGTCCGTTTAATCTAAGTGGAAATAGAATATTTATCTGCATTTCATTAGCCGTCATTTTAACGATCATTTCGATTTCTTCCAAATTTGACTGGGTCCTATACAAGTGACTTGATCAGTCCAACAAGGGATGTTAAATTAATTCTAACGTCATACCAATCTTATAGGAATTACCTTGACATTTTATGTGCAAGCACACAACATCAAGATTCAGGTTTTTATAATGAAGGGATAATACATAACCTTAAATTTAAAGGATTTGTGTGTAACTTCATAGTAAATAACAGTTTAGTTGTGTTATATTGTGATGTCAATTAAAAACTACCAGTTCCTTGTATATTGAAGGGCAGCGAAAACACTGTAAATAAATTTTAAGAATGAAAGTCAAATTGAACTGTGATGATAGTTATTATCCTCCTTTTTTACAGTCCGTCATTTCATATCTCATCAATATAATTACATTCCTTTTGGAATTTGGATGATCGGTGCATTGTGGGCTATTCTACCACTCTATGGATATGGCAGGTAAAGCGTACCTTCTTTTTACTGATAATCTATATGGTTGCTTACAGTTTCAAATGAAGGCTAAATGCATCATATTGATTGATTTTACACGTAATTTACTAAAGTACCAACATTTATGATCAATTCACTCAAATAATAACAGTCTTCTCACCTTAACTGAATGATATTCAATCATTAACAGCAATCAACATAGTACTTGATAAAATAAGATCTATAGTTCAGGGGCTTGAACTAAACAAGATATCTGGTACTTTAAGACTACTACTGTCGACTAAAGAGTTTCAACTTTAATTAATCAAAAAAGAGCATCATGTTCCTATTTTTTCATCATCACATGGGTCCAATAAATAATTCCAAACATGAGGATTAGGCCAAAATTTGTAATTCAACATGGAAAATCTTTTTTGTTGCTGTATTGACTATTCGAACTTCAAATCAAGACATAGTTTCTTTATTTTTCGGTTAGTAAATTTTTAGTACACGTAATTTACAGTTCAGTTAATTCGTCAATTTTTTTTTGGGGGGGGGGATTTATTCTAAAATACTCATTAAATATTTGCAGTTCAGAATAAAGTTAGTAGTATGTCAGTAACAATGTAGAACTTCGTACGTACGTACATTAGTTCGAGTTGCATACCATATTAACACATAGACACAATTGTCGATTCAAATCCTGTAGTGGTAGAGGTAGCAAAAGTATAAGCAGTAAAGATGTTATTCAAGGAGTATAATCCAGTGAAGTAAATTCGGAAAGAGAAAAAAGGGACATGAAGAATTGAGAAGATTCGAATTTGGAAGAACACGAAGAGAGGATGCACCTGCGCCCACCATTGCAAACGATTTTGAGCCATGTCATTCAAGGTCTCTAATCATCGGTTGCTATCGTCTTGAGGATCTCAACCAGATACTTTATACCTACCAACAAGGTTCATTCAGTTCACTTGTCAGTGACTTGATGGATTTGTGCTATGTTTTGATCTGGCCGCCTCTAGCTTTCTTCCAACCTACTCCTACACCATAAAACACAGCTCGTCGGGGTAGTTGGTGGTTGGGCCTACATAACACATGTCCCAGCCATTAAGTTAGCATATTAATAAGAGTCATATCCTTGATTAACTGACTTAAGATCAAAGGAATAAGACTAAACAAAAATCTATATTCATTAGAGAATTTTATTTAGTATGTATTTTAAGTGAATGCCATTCTGGTAACTGTCTGGCGGGTCAACAATCTGCCTTAATTAAACAAGTCAACACCGATTAGTCAAATTTACGGTCACATTAAAAAATTAAATAGACGAGATCAAGTCATAACACTAGTAATGGCATGTTTGTAATATCTCAGTGAATATAAAATCGGATTTCTGATGTTTACTAGTTCAGTATCAGCTATGGTAACTATCATACAACCAATTTTGTTATGGTTAATTTTAGTTGAGTGTTTTTTACTAACTTACTTAACAGATAATGCTATTGGAATAGTCACGATTCGCATATTTCTTTGTATTGTTATGATCACTAGATCATATGACAGACTCTAGCTGAGATGTTGATCACTTAAATATCACTAGATGATTCATTCTCTTCCTCATGTATATATGTACTCAAATCTTATTATTATTAGCTTTTGCTTTACTGTGCCCTTATGCAATTTGACTATAAATTTGCCAATGTATTGGATCATATATACCTATTTGCCTCTCGGTTTCAAATGAGCTTAATGTGCTTATAGCTTTGTGATAAGTGCTATCCACTAATAAACTGTGGTTGCTGCTTCTCATTGCCTTCTGAGTTCATACACCGTTGAGAATTTATATTCTAACGGTTATTGAGGTGATAGATTAACGAAGAAAAGTCACTACAAAATTGCTTCTTCATTAGGACATTGAATATTGCTGTATCTTCCCATCGAGGTTAAGACTGCAATTGATCAGTCTGTTATTGGCATATGTGCATACTGTGTGTATGCCTCAATATTACCTTAATTCACAAGCTATTTGTAAGCAATGATGGATAGTGGCTAGCAGGTTGAAATGATTATCAGGTCGAAAATTGATAATGATACCAAATCACTATCTTAGCTTTTTCTAATATTTCAGATATACATTAGAACCTCATAAAACATCATGTCTATTGGACTGGACTAATATGGATAAGAGCATGAAATTGTATATGTTTTCACTAATTATATTTGGTTATGTACTTCCATTCGGTATCGGTATTTGGTCACAATATAAACTGATACAGCATACAGTATCGGATGAAAATAAAAATAAGAAGAAGAACACTACAAAGATTGAGATTCTTATAAAGGTAGATTTATTTATTTGATTATTGCCTAATTATTTTTAAGATCTATTTCATGGAAACTCCGCCTTGAGTCCCTCCGGGGGTTGCTGTCGGTCCCAAGGCCGGATAAATGAGGAGGGTTGGGCATGGGGTTAGCGTCCCCATACCGTAGAAAACTAACTCGCTAAAAAACGCCAACTAGAAAAAACTATTCAAACCCTTTAAACTCTGCCCTGGGAGTCAGAAGGTCTTCATTTAGAAGGACTATGACGCCTCATGATGAAAGCCGAGTTCCTTCGAAACTTACGAGGCCGATGCCCCTTCTGACAACCAGAGCAACCATTTATTTAGGTACATGGAATACTCCGACAATGTGGGAGACCGGGAGAGTCTTCCAAATTACTGAATTGCTGCTGCATTTCATGGAGACTAAAAAGGATTAATGATTTGTTGAACTCACTAGATGAGTTGTGTTCTTTTGGTTTCTTTCATTGGTTAAGACCAAACTATAACAGAAGAATTGCACCAACATTTGTTTTACATTTCAAATGAGCATTGTCATTATTCTACACCGGTCCTTTTAATGACTTTGATGAGGTGATTATATAAATGCATCGAATAACTTATCTGTTTTTAAAGTACCCCAGAAAATCCCTAAAATTAAGGCCCATGAATATATTTACTCTGTAATATAGTGAATTTGTGTATTTTATCAACATTAAAGAGGCTTTATCTACCACTTATGTTACTTCATAATTTTCAAAATTGAAAGGCTTGTTTATATTTAGAAAAGAGTTTTGTGGATACTATAGTTATTTAATAGTTGAGTTCATGAGTCAATTTAAGATAAACCACCATGGAATACTTGGAAGCACTGAACGGGCGTTTCGTCTACCAATGTCAGTGGTGGAGGGTGGTGCAATTTCGTGGATTGGTTGGAGTTAGACAATAACACCGTTAGATGTCGGTTTAGTGGTTTAGTTGATATTAAACCGTGAAAAATAAAATGATAAGTTTGATACGACTAACAAAACAATGGTAAACCAATTATCATAACAATGATATGAACTATAACATAGGGTAGTATGAAGTTTCTGAAAAATCGTAAAAGCTTAGCCAGTAATAATAATAATGATAATTTTGATGGAGTTTTGTTCTCTGAGCTGGATAGTTTGGTCGTGGAGCTTTCATCATTCTTCTGAACGACATTATCAGCACAAACTTCATATAGAAGTGAAGTGTTCGAATTTCTCCACATGCGTTTCACAGCTTGTTCTGTACACCTCGACGTTGATTGGTTCTTATTGACCTTAAATTCGTCATTGTTTACTTCTTTGTTTTGGTTGTGTCTCCCATTGGTTTGATTTTTGTTCCCATATTTGTGCATAATTTTCCTTATTGGTTGATAAATTGGATTGATTTCAATATGCTTGCTGATTGCTGATTGACCTGAGTGCCAGGCTTCTTAAACTTCTCTAGTGTTTTTGGGATTTCCTCTGTCCAATCGAATGAGTGTCCGCTGTTGTCCACGTGTATTGATATAAGTGAGGAAACATCATGGCGTTTGTCTGCTAATTGATGTTCATGTAGGCGAAGGTGAAGGGGGCGTCCGCTTTGTCCGATGTAGTGTGTTTCGCAGTTGGCACAATTTATTCTGTAGATGATGTTTGATTTGTTTTCCTCTGGTTCTCCACCATTTCCATAATGATAATAATAACTATTAAATAAGGCTGAAAAGGGTGAAATTGTCACATTATAGCCCTGAAACAAAGCAAAGTGATGTAAAAACTGTTTTGCATTTGAAATTCGGGATTGATACAAAGAATCCTTTCTATTTGGATTACTTTGTAATGTAATGAGTAACATATTTCGGATAGTATAGTTATTTATATGTTAACAGGATGCTGTAACGCTTGTTAGAGTAGAAAAATATCGGTATAGGCAATCGTTAGTATTGAGTTTTTAGAACACTTTATCTTTTCGCTCCTTGGATTAACATTCATAAAGATTCACTGAAAGTGATTGTCTCGCCTTACTTTTACATTCCCTTAAATGTTTTATATGGGATTTGTTTAGATGAAAGTAGTAGCGGTCAGTGAATAAGCTTCATCTATACAAGTTTTCTTGATCTCTGACGGATGATAGGTGAAATCTCTTTGACAATGTTGCTTAATTGGTACTCTACTTACCAATGACTTAAGTCTTCATCATGATCATGTTAGACTTAATATCATCAGGTTTGTACTTCAGTTTTCTCAACACCAGATTGTATGTGGTGTTAGTCAGTTTAAGATGATGGTTTGGCAAAGCTGTGTATTGACTGATGTTAATGGCACAAACTACTGTGCTTTAACTTGATAGTCTGGTACTTATCGTGTTCATCAAGAAAAATGATAGTCCTGGACTCGACACCGTACAGAGTCCTGATTAAACAATGTCGGACCATAATGAATAAAGTTTCCAGAATTTCTAATGTCTACTTCAATGTTATCGATCCATTTTTTTGTTTAAGAAATTATTTTACCCATGTATTAATGAAGTGCTTTTCTTTGATCTTTTATCTGCTTCATGAAATCATTCAACAAAGTTGAATAATTCAATCTTATTATTCAATATATTTGGTTGGTTATCATATGGTCTATTAGCCATTAATTCATTAATATCTGGACAAATAACATTGAATCCATTTACATATTGTATACCACAACTTCTTGCAAAAATTTCTCAAGCATTTTTACCTATAGCTTATAGTTATACAGAGAAACAAATTGGACAATGGAATAAAGCATATGGAAATATAGAATAGAAATATTGTCTAATTTTTGAACAAATCTTCTTGTAGTATCTTTTATGTTATACAATAGTTAGATGTAATAGTAATCGTTATGTAATCAATTGTTTGTTCTTATTTCATTTCTGTTTGGGTAAATCCTGCAATCTCTATGAACAATTGAGTTTTAAACATAACTGATAAGTCTTGTTAATTTGAACGCTTTATTCAGTTCCTAAGCTGTTCTGATAACCCGAAAGCTAGAACTACACAGCAACCTGAAATCGAGAGAAAAGGCGCAAAATAAGCGAAAACACTTTACTCCAAAGGTTCATTTTTGTACAGAAAAACACGGGTATTTATAGATGTTAACATTTGTTGAATCAACATCATATTTTGGCCAATCCGCTAAAAGACATTTAGAAGATGTAAATATCTTTACATATTTGGGCAGCATCATTGATGAACAAGGTGGATCTGATGCAGATGTGAAGGCGCGGATCGGCAAAGCAAGAGCAGCATATCTACAATTGAAGAACATGTGGAACTCAAAGCAACTGTCAACCAACGCCAAGGTCAGGATTTTCAATAGAAATGTCAAGACAGTTCTACTGTATGGGGCAGAAACCTGGAGAACTACGAAGGCCATCATCCAGAAGATACAGGTGTTTATTAACAGTTGTCTACGCAAAATACTTCGGATCCGTTGGTCAAACACTCTCAGCAACAACTTCATATGGAAGAGAACAAACTAGATCTCAGCGGAGGAAGAAATTAGGAAGAGGCGCTGGAAGTGGATAGGACACACATTGAGGAAAGCACCCAACTGCGTCACAAGACAAACCCTCACATGGAATCTTCAAGGACAAAGGAAAAGAGGAAGACCAAAGAACACATTACGTCGGGAAATGGAGACGGACATGAGAAGAATGAACAAGAATTGGATGGAATTAGAAAAGAAGGCCCAGGACAGAGTGGGTTGGAGAATGCTGGTCGGCGGCCTATGCTCCATTGGGAGTAACAGGCGAAAGTAAGTAAGTTAGTAAGCCAAAAGACATATGCTACTGACCAATAGTAGCACGCTACGTTGACATCCTAGAAAGCTCCATCATGTTCTGATTGGCTAGGACTCTTCGGCTCATTTTGGGCCTCTGGAGGCTCCGTTGAAGTTCTCTGAAAGCCGACTCAACAATAACTATTTGACTTTTTATAGTACTCTTCTTCTTTACGGATTGGTTGACCCGGTCAAATTCGGAAACTGTAATTATACTAAATCAGCGATAATACAGTTTTCACAAAGCCGTTAAATAGCATTTTCGATTTTGACAACTATAATCAGTGGCTACTTTGAGTAACTGAAAACGTCGGATAAATAGAAATATCTCTTCATCAAAAAGATAGTTGAAGTGAGATTTATTTGGATTTCAATCGTTTCTATTCGATAGGTTGAAACAACGTCTTGTTGAACACCATTCAGTGATGTACTGAAACTAAGTTCACATTAGAAAACAGAAGAATAGTTACCTACAGTTGAAATATGTCTACTATATATTGGTTGCTCATAAAGTATGAGGATACAATAACGAGGGGAATGAATTATACTACGATCATGAATCCAATCTTGATTAATTTTAGACTGTGTTACTATGTAGAGGACGTATCCAGTCACTGAACTAGTTTTGTTGTATCAAATAAATTATCCATTGAGACAAGTAGAATTGGACCAACTCCCATCTCATGTTACATCCAGTTAGTATTTACGTGTCAAAGTACTTATGTCATAAAAAGAGGAATGAAGAATTTTCTGAGCACATTTCACAACAATTGAAGTTAATTCATAAAAGCCTATTGAGACGTTAATAATGAAAGTTGAGCAAAGATGTATTTCTTCTCAATTAGCGCTTCGTCATGGCTTTGCACTAATATATAAATTTAAAAGCCGAATTTGAATTGTCATGGTAACCACTAGTGACTGACTGACAGGTCTCTTTTTGTCCTTTAGTCGACAGTAAAAGGTGTAGTACAGAAATGTAATCGTGTGGTTGTAAGTCCAATAAAACCGAGTCCGCTAGAGCAATTAAAATGGTAAAGGACGAACTGGGTAATCGTTCAGTGAATATACGTTTGATGGCTTTTTGTGCTTGTTGAATTGATGTTTCGCTAGTTATATCATCTTTGAATTGCACTCCAAGAATAAAGGTTTTTTGGTACCAGTAGTGATTAAACTTCAGGTTTAGTCCTAGATATATGTTTTATTAAGGACTTTGATGAGTATACGTGTTTATTTAGTGAACCAAGAATAAATTTTAGTTCTCTTCAAGGGTATAATCAGATCAAATAATGTTGGCTTTGTCAGCTAAGGATTTGATTAGGTTTTTTTTAAAAATTTTAATGGGACAAAGCTCGAAAAATGTGTATGTTGGTTGTGTGTAGGCTTCTCGTCAATAAAACGTCTAGAAAGAAGTGATGTCCTTGTTTGCTTCTTTCTTTGTGTGAATGATTAGTTGATGAACACTATCAAACGTTTTGGTAGGCTTTCACCTTCGCCATGGATTTTATGGCCATAATTGTGTTATATAGCAATGAGAAAATTCTATTTAGTCTATCTTAACTTTAGAAGTTTGTTTTCGAGTTTTTCAAAAATAAACCGTTGTTAATTCTATCGAAGCGTTCAAGTAACCCCGATTGAGATACTCGCAAAATCAAAGTTCCAAAACAACGATTTGTCTACAAAAGCGGTTCTTTATTGAATAATACACAAATTTTAGTTACAAACCTCAACTCTTGAGGTGTCTGCGGCGTTTAAACGCACCCTTCAAGTATGAAATAAAAAGGCTTCCTGTAACAGTAACACAAAGAATAATTACAACATACGATAGTACAAAGGACAGCTAATAGCTGTGTCTAGATTTGATAACAGTTTATGAACAGCCGAAACCCGAATCAAGAGCAAAACATTATGGAAACTGTTGCGTTTAAACAAATGCACAAAACTGTGGACAACCGCTACAACGATTAAGGTACAGTGATTATAATGATAAATACAATGACAAATACAATAAACGTTATGAGTATATGTGAACATTTCAGAATGTTACAGTACAACCTGAGTTACAACATATTTGTAAAAATTGTTGTGAATACAACTGCTTACTGAATATAAATAAGTAGTATAAAACAATATACAAAAGAGTGAAATAGGAGCGAGTAGGAACAATATAACACAAACTTAACAACTGTTTATGTTGAAACACAGTAATGATTCAATTGCAACGACCTTCCATTGTCTATAAAGTTCTTTATCGAACAAAGTATGTATGTTCATGGTGTGTCTGAGTACTAATTCCCTTGAGGATGCCAATATAGGTGTAATCGTACCGAAGGTCAATGGGGAATCTGCTCATCATTTACCTGATAATGGTCACATTGTTAGCACTTCAACTTTGTTCGAAATAATCGCTACTCAGACAACTTTGAATTTATTATATTTCACATATAGGTCATCTCAGTTAAAAGAATGAATCCGAACCTGTGTATTACAAAAAAGAATAAAGATGTAGATCTTGAACTGCCATGGGGAATTCTATCTTCATTACATGACCTTAATCATAAACTTATTTTCTTAATCTTTGCTTGTTTTGTGAACGTAACTCATTTTAGTGAGTATGTCATTCTTCCATTCTGATTTCTTTTATCCTATTCAACTTCATTAATATTACATAATGAAAAACCCTAAGTTTTAAATAATGATTATTGTTTCTAGGTAATGAGCAGTTGAAAAGAATCAAGGAAATGTATGAAATCATCTACAAAGTTCAATTTTATTCTATAGTCAAATTGAATAATTTAACAAGTCAGTCAGACAGTAACATCGTGGAACTTCATACGTACGTACATTAGTTCGAGTTTCCATACCACATTAGCACACAGATACAATTGTCGATACGAATCCCATAGTGGTAGAGGTAGTAAAAGTATAAGCAGTAATTGGAAAGATTAGGGTTTGAACAAAGAGTGGATGCACCTGCACCAATGCAAACAAGTTATTATTTCCTATTAGTTTCTATCTCTTATTCCCTTATTGTTAATTAGAACAGCATATACAGAAGAACAATATTGTTTTTCATTAGATCCTCATCAGGCTTTACTCGAATATAGAGTAATGTTTATCTGCATATACGCAATTAATAAAACCAATCAAGACAGTTTATGAGTCAATGATTATAGTGGAATAGCTCAAATATTCAAACAGTACACATTGATAATATGATGACAAGTGTACTAGTCGTGATAAGAATAATAAAGGCTTGAATCAATGTTACATAACAGGTAATACGTCAATGTCTTGAAAAAAACAAATGTGCTGAAATAACATTTATAAAAAATAGGATTATGTAATAAATAGTGTGTGTTGAAGAATGCTGGTCGGCGAACTATACTTCATTACGAGTAACAGGCGTAAGTAAGTAAGTGTCAAAATAATCGGACAATGAAGCGTATATTTGGAAAAAGGAGGGAGGGGTAACGAAAAATAAACGAACAAATAGTATGGAAAATAATATTAAATAAAATCATTTATTCAGGCCAAGAGGTGTGGGGGGGGGTAAAAGTGTTACTGATTTCTCATGAATACAAGGGTTTGGATTGTTACCTCGAGTTCATACAGCTTCTGCTATTTGTAATAGACGAGATCAAACCTTATAGGGGAAACTAGTAAGAATACGACAAATCAATTTAAGTGACCTACTTCTACTACATGACCTCTATCGATCAAGTGTGATAGAATGACGGTACCCTTTCCTGGTCACTAAGGTAGGTCTACACTAACTCTTTGACTCAGTTGTCTGGTTTTGAACTCAATATAGCTTTCTCTACCGGAGCAGATGAAGTTGTGGATACACAAAATGTAGCAGAACCAGGTAGCTTATCATTTTGTTGAGGAATTACCATAGATCGAGTCGAGAACGATAGACTGAGGTTATCTATATTCAACGTTCTCTTTACTGCTTTAGTAAGTTTATCCCGTAGCGCATCAA